TGCACAATCGGTGGCTGACTAAATACTTTTTTGCCCCACTGTAAATATATAAGAGCTGCTTATAAATCTCTGATGTTTGTCACCCTCGGTCCTGAAAAGAACGCCTGTAGATGTTTTCTGGATGTCTCTCCTTCTGGCAGACAGTCATAACGAGCACCTGCGTTGTGGACCTGCTGGGCTAAGTACAGTGTGCATACTGTGTAGTGTACATACTGCACTTTCAACACATACAAGTGTGCACATGTGTGATGGAAGTGTTTGACACCAGTCCCGTCTCAGCATTTGGACTTTTGAAACGCACCAACACAAAGGAATTTGCAGATTCTCTGCAGGCCGAGACAAACCTGTGACATCTTCACAGCACAACATCTCGAGCTTTCTACAAACCAGGAATGCAACCTGGCAGAAAAAAACAGTGATTAAAGAGGGTAACAGGATCAGCTGTAATCAGCTTGTCCTGAGAAAATGCCAGGGATTTTTCATCCTTTGTCAGGTCAATCCAAGAGGTGATTTCTTTTCCTATTAATTATCTGCCATGCCGCAAAAAAAGAAAAAAGAAAAAAATATCATATCTCCAGCATGAGCAACTGTCTCTGCTTTCTTTCCAGAATTATCAAAATAGGCAGTGTGGGGAAGCGAGCTATACAGTGATGTGCGTGCCCTCTCATTTCTTTGACAAAGAACAATGGCTACCTCATAACTCCAGAGTTTCTTCAGAAGTGTGGGGGGGGGAATAACGATTATCCAAAGACATGTTCTCTCATGTGACAAATTCTGTTTTCACAGGCCAAATCCTTTGGTGCCTCTCTGCTGAAAATATTTCGAGCTTGTAATAGAGATTTAATCAGAAGATAAGGAGTGGCCTGAGCACTGAGAGACGGAAAGAGAGAAGAGTGATGATCGTGCATCTCGAGCTTATCGCTGATGGAATAGCTCAATGACATCCTCTATTTAGCCCGAATGACAGCCGCCTTTTATAGCACCCGCTGGAAGACAGGTCACGAAGGAAGCCAGATCACCTTCTCTGCCACACAGGTGTATGCTGTGTCAATGCTGCCCTCTTTTGATCGTGTGAGGAATATCATCAAACCGGCTCATCTTTTTTACACTTTCATTCTTGTATCCTGGAAACTACATGTGTCCACTTATACCCTACAGCTTAATTTATGGGCAACACAAGAGGGCTGTGTTAAAAACATATTACAGAATATCATCAAAGAGGAACTTTGACATGGTTTGACACCTTTGAGTTAATTTATTGCACATTTTTAAAATTGTATGTGTCCTAACTTCAAACATTGCATCAGACAAATTTTAAAAAGTGATCGATCATCATGTCAATGTTCAAGTTACTTCATTTAACGGCTCTTATCCATTGCCCTTCCAAAGCTGGTGAAAAAATGTAATTAAAAGATTCATTTCATGAACACAAACACATTCTGTTCAAGCTTGGTCCTAAAGGGCATGCTTTAGTATTGTTTCTAAGGCACACAGGGCAGGGCAGTAAAGATCAATTACTAAGTTGCTGTGTGAATTCAAAACTGTAGTCAAAACCCAATGAATTCTTCAATTTATCTCACACAGTCTTAAGTACAGTCTTATGGTGCGATGTGGAGGCTGTGTATATGTACCCTAGACCCATGGTTTTCAAACTTTGGCTCTGATGCCCTTGGTGGGGCATTACAGGGGGAAGCATGAACATTTTTTGGCATCTAAGACAAGGTTTGAGAACCAGCGGGATAAACTATGCCTCTAATGCTCTTTAATGCCACATAAGTAACATGACATTAACATACTGTGTGTAGGCTCATTTTCAGCCAGCGGAGCTGCTTCTGATACTGTCCTAAAACAGCAGGGAACCAAATGGAAATTTGAAGCCTAATATTTGCAAAACACACATTAATTATAATAATAATGGATTGATATAGCAAGGCACTGAAAGCGCTTTACAATTCCACTATTCATTCACTCTCGCATTCACACACTAGTGGAGGCAGCTACAGTTGTACCCACAGCTGCCCTGGGGCAGACTGACAGAGGCAAGGCTGCCATATCGCGCCATCGGCCCCTCTGGCCAACACCAGTAGGGTAAAGTGTCTTGCCCAAGGACACAACGACCAGGACAGAGAGCCCGGGGATCGAACCAACCTTCCGGTTACAGATGCGATTCCCAACCCCCTGAGCCACGGTCGCCCTTATTATCACTGATGCAATCCAGAGCTACACTGTTGCACTGTGGTTGATGAACTGCCCCGTGTTTCTTGGGCAAACACGCCTCCAGATGTTGCCACGGCCTCCATCAGTTGTTGCTTTACTGCTGTGACTTGTGAAAATGTACATGAAAATAATGTTTTCAAGCTCTTTTAGTGAGATTATAAACAAGATTTGATTTGATATGTCACCACTCACTGTGAAGTATTTTAAGGCTGCCTGAGAAATTGCCCTGCACCTCTCAACAACTCTGAACAATAAAATTAAATGCTAATTGTAAAGCTGTTGTTGAGATCATTGGCTGTTAAGTTTCAAAGAGCTGAGACACTCAAACCATGAATGGCCCACTTTACCTAATGGCCCAATTTACTACAGTTTACCTTATTAGCATTTTAAAGAGAAATACATTTAGCATCTGTTGCAAGGTTGTTGGGTTCTGGTTTTGTTTTTTCCCTTACAGATTAAGAGCTGAAAATACAAATAAAATAAAATCAGTTTCTGGTCTCAGCCTGGCCACAAATATTCTTTTAAAAATGTATGGCTCTGCCATTGTTCAGGATTGTTTAGGAGCTATTGATTTAGATTAATGACATGTCACATGGGCACGGGAGGAAGCAAATACACACTTTACGAATTTGAACTTAATTTATTTACAAGAATAGTAATACATTATAGGCAACTTTAAAAATCTGTACACTGTACATTCAAGGCTTTGAGAATTTTCCACCCTCAATTGCAATTTATCCCCACTAGGTGGCTCTGCTCCTGTCAGCATGTCAGTCTCTGATCCACATCAAAACCAAGGCCTCCAAATGGGTGGGGAAGAGTTTGGTGCCAACACTTCCCTGTGTAGAAGGTTTGAGGGGGGTCTCATTGTGGTGAGAGGGGAGAGGATGGAGTGAGGAACTGTGGGTGAGAAGCTAAAGAAGGAGGTGTTGGAAGATGGAGGTGAAAGGCTGGGGGGGATGGAGAAGAGAGAGGCAAATGACGCAAAAGAAGAGGTGGCATACATGGAGAAAGAAGGGGAGAGCCAGGGAGAAGGAGGAGGGCTCAGGTAGTCATGGCATGGCGTGGAACAAGCGAGAGGCTGAAATGGGGAATAAGACGGGAAAAGCAAAACGGGAGGATCTTCTTTGGAGTCGGATGAGCAAATGGTATCCACAGATGCTGCGCGCTGGTTGAAGTCTGGTTTCAGCTGCAGACCCTCTGCGTGATGTTTAAGCCCCTCAATCAGGCTTGTTCTCTGTGCCGGTGTTATCCTGTGCATGTAGCTGGTCAGCTGGGCCACACACTGCTGAAAACCTGCGCTCTCTCTGCCAAAGAGAGGAGGAGCATTGGACTCCGAGTGGCCACTGTCTGCCAAAGGAGCATGAGTATCAAATGAGTCTGCAGGATGCAAAAAGACAGAGATGTGAGGGATAAACAAGTGGAACATGAATATGCTGGTTTTAGTTTGATTTTGCTTAACTAACCATTGCTCAGGCCCTTTTTATCAGTCCACTTTTGGAGATAGTCAACAGCCAAGTCCAGAATCTCTGCTTTTTCTATTTTTGGATTCTGCAGCCGCTGTTGATGATGGACAGGTCAAATCAAAGAACAAAGGAGAGGAGAAACCGTTTTTTCCCACTGCATTTATGGCTTACTTGCCAACTCATACACAGTTAAGGTTGTTCAGACATTACTCACTGGATCAGATGTGGCATTCATCAGCAGATGCCTCAGTTCAGCTAGACTTTGATTTATTCGATCTCTTCTCTTCTTTTCCACAACTGGCTTCAGAGTCTTTGAGAGAGGTCACGACAAAGCTTTGCTTTAGTGATGTGATGAAAGTTCAACACAACGAATGCTGACTTCACTGCTTTGCTAAAGCTAAGAAGCTACTTTGTCCTCGTCTACCCAATTTAGAATAAGAACATTAGCTTACAGTGATAAAAAGTTTTCCTAATCCCAAAAAGAATCATGCAATATAACACAGAATAATGATACAGTTTCCTACCCTTTTCCTGCTCTTCCCATCATTCTGGGTTTGGTTTTGGAGTTTCCTGGTCATGTTGCAGTGCTCTATCCAAATGTCCTCCAGAGGTTTAAAGCCCCCTGCCTCCTACAGGGGGACTTATAAGTGCACCTCCTGCGACCTCTGATTGGCTGGCACGTGTGCGTGATGACACTGACCAGAGACTGGAGTGACTGTGGGAAAACCGAAACTTGAAACCGTTACCAACATGGTGACAATTAAAGACAACATGTTAAATCTGTGGCTAAACGTGTG